AAGACCTCCCCCTAAGAAGGCACCCGGACCCCTCGTAGTGGCAGGTCAAACTCACTATGAATTAAAGCATATTCTTGATTCTAGAATTTTTAAAGGGAAATTGCAGTACCTAGTACAATGAGATACTTGCTATCTGAAGCCACTTGGGTGAGATCTAGCGCTGTGAAAGCCAACAGACTCATCAAAAGGTTCTATAAGACAGGGCTTTTCAACCAGTGGTACGGGTACCACCCATGGTACATTGGCACCTGGCAGGTGGTATGCGAGCATCCTAGAAAAGTGGTAGCGGGGGAGGGGAATGAGCTGAACCGGTGACAGCACCGCACAAGCCGGAGCGAGAGATGGCTGGAGCTGCAGCGCTGTCAGGGCTTAGTGGAAGTGCCAGGATCAGCTCCAGGCTTCAGCTGGAGCTCGGCATTGATCCTGGCACTTCTGCTGAGCCTAGAAGCGCTGATCAGCTGGAATATTGCAGCATCCCCAGGGTCTTTTTATTGAAAATTTTTATAAACTTTTTACAATAAAATACCTCTCCCCCTCCCTCCCCCCATAACCCTCCCCCCTCCTTCCCAGAGCTGAATACAGGGTTAAAAAAACAAAAAAACGTACAAATTAAATGAACATCAATCAACTATACATACATCCCAAAAAATTAAAAGTACTTTAACTCCCATACATTAAAAACAACAAATCCAACCATAGCCACATTAAGCTATAAACTATTCAAAAGCTAAATAATACTTTCTAATCCCATATTTATTCTGTACAAAATTTACCCATCTTTTCCACACAGAATTATATCTCTCTTATGAATGGTCTTTCAGATAAGCCAAAATTTTAGCCATTTCTGATAAATAAGAAACTTTAAGAAACCATTCCTCTAGAATAGGCAAGGAATCTTTCTTCCAATATTGCCCAATCAATAACCTTGCCGCCGTAATAAAATTCAACATTAAGGTAATCTCTTTAGCATCACAGTCTTCAATAATACCTAACAAAAATAATTGTGGTGTAAATTTTATCCTTCTATTAAAAATCTTCTGAATGTTCCACCAAATCTTAATCCAAAAAGCCTTTATATTTCTACATGACCACCAGATATGATAGTACGTTGCATCCAAACACCCACATCTCCAACATTTGGGCTGTAGATTCGGATACATACGAGACATCTTTTGTGGATCAAGGTGCCACCTATAAAACATTTTATAAAAATTTTCTCGTAAATGTTGAGCTTGGGTGAACTTAACATTCCTCACCCAAATTATCTCCCATGTATCTAATAAAATCGGCTCTTCAAAATTTTGAGCCCATTTAACCATACAATCCTTAACTAATTCTGTTTCTCAATCCAATTCCACTAAAACATTATAAACTCTTTTTATATGAGCTCGACTTTGATCTTTAATTTGTTTCATCAAATTCACATCTTCCGTAATAAAACCCACTTTTTGATCTATACTCCATCTCTCCGATAATTGCCTATACTGAAACCAAGAATAAATAATGTTTTCTTGCATTAATTCCTCCATAGATTTTAATTGCCAATTATTCCCTTCCCACTTAAGCAATTGTTTATAAGAAATCCTATCCATTTTCACTCCTTTCCTTATCCCCTCTATAGCATGCCCAGGAATTCCCCACAACAGTATTCTAGAATTTAATCTATAATATTTCTTCCAGACACGCAATAAAGCAATTCTTAAAACATGGGATTTAAAAACCCTATCCACCTTTTTATTATAAATTAAATACACATGCCATCCAAATAATAAATCCCATCCCTCCCAAAAAAGTATATTTGAATTTGTTAAGTTAACCCAATCACTAATCAACGTTAAGACGACCGCATCATAATACAGTTTCAAATTCGGCACCTTGAATCCTCCTCTCTCTCGAACATCTTGTATAATTTTAAGCTTAACTCTTGGTTTTTTCCCAGCCCAAATGAATCTATTAATACCCTTCTGCCATTCTTCTAAATTTACCTCTTCCTGTAAGATAGGTATCATTTGAAACAAAAAAAGAAATTTTGGCAGAACATTCATTTTAACTGCAGCAATTCTCCCTAACAAAGATAATTGCAATTTTTTCCAATCATTCAAATCCTTCTGCATTTTAAGCCATAACATTTCATAATTGTTTTTATAAAGTTTTACATTAGAAGCAGTTATATAAACCCCCAAATATTTCACCTTTTTTACAATTTCAAAACCTGTCAAATTAACTAAAATCTCCTTATCCAAATTAGACATATTTTTAGATAATATTATAGTCTTATTATTAACTTTAAAACCAGAAACCCATACTCATTTATAAGCCCAGGGTCTTGTGATTTACATTCAGATGCTTGGCAACTGATTCATATTTATGACGGTCACAGTATCCCAGGGTCATGTGAAGTGACCAAAACCTGCTGCAGCCACCCAGCAGAGAGGAATAAAAACCAAACACCCCCTTACCCCACCCCTGCTGCCAATCCTCAACAGAAAGGCTCACAACAATGGAAACCTCAGATAGGAGGAAGAGTGCTGCCGGGTGGGCAGGCAGATGTCTTGCTCGGCTATGCCTTGGCGGGCACTTTTTTCAGTGCCATTGTAACTTCAAACAGTCACTAAGCGAACTGTTGTAAGTCGAGGACTACCTGAACTTTATCACTTTTTTCCTTTTTTTTTTGTCATCAAGTTTTTGACACCTTGCTAGGCGACTGGTGGTACTCGGATATTGCCATATCCTAAAAGTGGTACAATGGGTGAAAAGGTTGAAAAGCCCTGCTATAAGAAACACCCTAACAAATTGAGAGATAGTCCCTAACATATACTTTTGTTTATGCTACAGGATTTGTCCTTTTTGTAAGGGGGCCCAAATGTCAACACTGCTAACATTGGATGTTCTGCTTTGACGACATATAGAGATGCAGCCTTTTTCTTTCTTACATTTTCTTTCATCTGTTGGAACCATGACAAGATAGATCTCATAGAGAAAATCTATACAGTCATTAGGTGTCAAAAATGGCTTGATGGCACATAAACAATTGAAAAGGAAATTACCAGTATTTGTGGCAATTGGTCCCATTGTTGCATTGGTTTTACTATTAGGAAATTTGTTCCAATGTTCAATTGGAATTTTGCCTTCCTTGTGTTAAATCCAGTATTCTATGATCTGAACTCTGGATGATAAAATATTTCTTGGCCCCATCTTCTATGTGATCTTCATTAGGTATTTTAAAGGTGCTATCATATTGCCGTTCAATTTTGTCTTCTCAAGACAGAATGTATGCAGGTTCTTCAATTGTTCTTCCTAAAACCTTTCTTGCTTACTTACCCTGAATATCATTCTTTGGGCTTGTTCTGTTTTTCCTGAACTTTTCTCAAAATATGCCAATGTTGGATATGGTATTATAATTATTAATTAATTATTAATTATTGTGAATAGTGGGATTTAGGGACATGTACAATATGGAAAGTGTGTTTTGCCCCAAACGTGAAACAAATATATTGTGCCCCAGATATTGTGATCATTTTTTGTTTACACCAAGTCTCAAACAAAACAACCCAGAGGGATTTTGTAATGATTTTAGAGAGAACGTAGGGCAAGGCTGATGTGCATCATTCTCTCTTTTTCCCCTGCCAACAAAACACCATTTTTCGATCTCTGTTTGGAACAAATAGCCATTTCATTCCATACCAGTTGTGGGTGCTCCATTGCAGGAGGTTTCAAGAAAAAATTGGACATTTATTTGTCCAGGATGGTATAAGGTCTCCTGTCTGGGGCAGGGGGTTGGAGAAGAAGACCTCCAAGGTCCATTCAATCCTATGATTCTATATTTTGAAGAATTGTTAAGGCTACCCACCTCCAAAAAGAATTAGCAGAGATGGCCAAACTGACTGTGCTGATAAAAGAAAAGAACATAAGTACTTTTGTTTGTACTTGGAAACCGCTTCTGGACTTTGTGCTTGAGGTGGAAAAAAATGATATGATTTTGGTTTTATCGATTGCTTTTGTATTTTCACATTTATGTTATAAATGAATAAAACTAATAAAAAAGGCTACCCAACTTCAAAAACACTGATGTTTTGAGATTTCTATTAACATTTTTCATACTAAATCATTCTTGAACTCCAGGTTCATGCAGTGGCTGCAACTAGGCTGCATAAATCCAGATTACTATGTTACAGTCAAGCAACCAATTCAATATTATCTAGGGCAGGCGTGTCCAATTTGCGGTCCATATGCCACATGTGGCCTTGGATAGTTAATAACGTGGCCCTACAATATAATAAAAATATAAAAAATAAAGGAAGTTTGTTATTTATATACTATTGACTATATTATATATTTTATATGCTACCCAAAACAATTCCTTTTTACTCAAGGCAAGCCAAAAATTTGGAAAATCATGATCTAGATGCTACTTCATTGATATGTACACTGTCCTCTCAGGAGAGACCGGGAGAAATAAAACTGGATAGATACCCAGACTTTACAAGCATCACCTTAGCACATATTCTGTACAGTACTTAGCTCCAAATATACAGTATCACCATCTGCTGTGTTCATGTGCATTAATGGGCTTTAATGTGATTTGTGTTACTGGGATTTGATTAGACCTACGTACCAGGTATTTAATCCAAAAACTAGTCTATGCCAATCTCATCCTCTATTATATTATGAAATGCTTGTAGTGGAGTTACAGAGAGTATGCAGTCTGAAGAATGGTATTACAAGAAAATCACTTAATTCTTGAGCAGAGATGTTTAGCTTTAAAAAATAGCTTTAATCAATCCAACAATGGTATACAATATTCCCTAACAATTCCTTAAAAGCTAGTTCCTGGTGTACCAATAGCTTGATTGTGATAAATTATATTACCATGCAAATAATAATTCTGGGATGAAACAACTTGTGTCTGCACAAGTCACCATGATGAAATAATCAATGCATCTGGATCTCATATCACAATTGGCTAAAAAATAAGCAGAGTTTTTTGAGAGTTTTTATGAAGTTTGCCAATGTGTTTATTTTACACAATATTGTATGTTTGAGTTCCTGTAATGACAATTAAGCCACTTATCTAATTTACCTTGCCTATTTTGCAAGAAATATATAATAGGTTTTAATTAAAAGAAAGAAATAATGTTGAAATAAAAACTTTACATCTTCTACAAGCTTAAAGTTAGAAGACTAGATTTAAGGACAGGAAGAAAAGATAAACTATTTTAATGGCAATTTGCAGGCATCTATATTCATTATAGTACTGTGTGTAATAAAAAATGCTAAACAAATTTACAAAACAAAATGTTTAATATTTCAGTTATATTTTCTGTGAAAAGTACAGCAATATATGAAATAAAATATAAGAAAGTGAAAATTAAGCTAAATCTACTTGGGCAGATTAAAAATACATGGCTTTTTAGAATAAATTTCAAAGTAAATTGCTCATTATATAGTACATAATTTTGAACTTTTGATTATTATGGCTCCTTTCTTGTTATGTATTGATTTATTTTATATTTCATGCTAATTTTATTGTTTTGCATGATTTTGACCATTTTCATTACAAAAACAAAGCTATTGTCAAATTTTCCTTCCCAGTTATAACAATCTTTTCCTAGAATACACTTTTCTTATCTGGATTTACTATTTACTAATTATGCTTGGTGTCATTATTAAATTGTGTTGGGGACGTGGAAGTGGCAGTGAAGTATATTTTAGAAAATAGATTTTTCCATAAACATTAGTATATAATATGAAAACCCTTCCTGGGATCATTGAGACCTTTAAGATGACCTTTTTAAGTGGTTAATGATTGCATAAAAAAATGCCATTACAAGAAAAATAAATTTTTTTGGAACACATGGTTAATAACTAAACTGGATCAAATGCAGTTTCACTAGATCATTTACATTTACCACTGTCTATTCTATACAATTTACTCAGTCTGTATTAGCAAACAAGAATTGCTAATCCAATGTTTATATAGTCCTGGTTCCAATAGGATGGATGGTTTTCTTAACTGGTCTCAGTCTTAACAGATCTCAATCTGATTTATTATGCTATATTCCTAAACTATATTTATTATATTTATTATAACCTGTGGCTAATTTATCACTTTAAATGGCAAAAGAAACAAAAACCTCTACACTTGAAAACCAAAAGATACAAGAAGAGAGGTGTCTAATTTTGCCCAAGCTACAGTTATATGGCACAGCTAGGGCTAGCAGATATTATAACCTTGCAGATGCTGCTCTATCTTGACAAAAGTCAAGTTGGTACATTACATTCTATCTCATAGAAAGACAGGCTTGCCAAATCATGCATCTGTCTGTTTATTAGTCTTCTTCAGGAGTTTTCTCAGGTTAGATGACATGAAGTAAGGCTTCTCAGTAGAGCCATCATTACGCTCCAGGTCTTCCACTGCAAAGAAACACAAATCCCCCTCAAGCAAAAGGATGTGAAAAGATCATTTCGGAACTAAGACAAGGAAGATAGACTAAACATGCAAATACACATAGGAATAATCCTGGCTTATGGAAATTAAGGGAAACTTGACCACTTCTTGCAGTAGTGATTAGCTCTCACTATGAGCAGAAAAGTACCTATGACAGACATTCATAATTAGACTGAAAATGATTCTGATTTGAGAATTTTCCTGTTCTGCTATTCAACAGAAAGGATGTTAGAATTTTCCATCCAAAAAGATCTGGTTAGGGACTTTTTAAAACCCTATCTTAAAGTAAGGGATAAATCTTGCCATTCTCAAAGATTCTAGGCACATCCATGAAATCTGAGGTCTTTTTTTTTCTCCCATGGAATACAAAGAAACTGAATAATAGCTTCCTTGTTCAGAAACTGTCATTAGCAAAGCAAAAGTGGAGTTATGTGACATTTTCCTATTATTCACATTTGAAAATTATTCTTAACCTCTTTTCTGAAATTAAACTTCTCTAGATAAAAATTTCCTACTCATAAGTAGGAAAACACAAAGTGTTACAAGTTTACTATGCAAATAGAAGATAAGAATCTGGCTTTTTTATGTTTCAGCATTCCTCCTTTAGAACAGTTGTGTTAATCTTTGATGCCTTTTGTTGATTGCATCTCTATATAATGCACAGAAATAGAAAGACAGAAGAAGCCTCTCCAAGGACTTCCTACCCTGGAGAAGTTTGCTAATAGTTTAAGCCAACAAGAAAGCACTTGTACAGAAGCAAGATATTTCCAAAGAGCTGAAACTAATCTGAAAGAGAAATGATGCTCATTTTGGTTATCTTCATCCCACTATTTACTTCTGTTTGCATACAACAGGGGTCTTCAAATATAGCCCTTTTATGGCTTGTGGACTTCAACTCCCAGAATTCCTCAGCCAGGCATGCTGGCTGAGGAGTTCTGGGAGTTGACGTCCACAAGTCATAAAAGGGCCACGTTTGAAGACCCCTGGCATACAACTACAATTGCAGTTATATACTAATTCAAAATCTGTTCCAACCAAAGGAAAGTATACTATTAAGTAAGCAAACCTTTGTCAAAGTATTTTATTTATATCCAAGCAGCTGCTTTCTTAAGCATCAAGATATTGCTATATTGGGCTATCTTTCTTATAGATGGTTGCACATGGAATATAGGGACATTTGGAATCTGGAAAGGTCGAATATTTGAAAACATTTTTATTGTAACAGAAATTGTTAATGTATTGCTGTGGATATTAATTTTACTTCATTTTGAATTGTTCTGGTGTTATTCTTTGTGCACCTGATAAGATATCTGTGCCAAAAGCAACCATAGTTAAGACAGCAATAGTAGAATCATACTGAGGCATTTTCTTCAACTTTAAATACATTCACCCTCCAATTTCTTTGGTATTGGAAAATCTGCTGGACAGAAACAGATTACAGTATATACCACCAATAGCTACTTGCTTGATGCAAATCATGAGCACCATCATTTCTCAGAATATCAAAAATTGCCTATGAAGGTACAGCATCTACACACAGAAGGTTTGCAGTGGGACATCTGCATCCATCTTTCCCATTTGGTGCATTGTCCCTATTCTTGACTCTCAGCATTTTTGGAAGATTTTAGGCTTCCCTTCAGGAGGATTTCACTCAAGGCACAGGACATGTAATAAGGCCGCTCAGGAGTTCCATCGTTCCTTTCCAGATCTTCGCCTTTTGGAATCCCAAACAAGACAGAGAAAGCATCCATAAAAGAATGTACAAGAGAAGCAAAGCAAAGCAAAAAATAAACAAGGCAAAGAGATATAAAGCAAAAGGGGAGAGAAAAAAAGGAAATGTTGAAGTTAGTTGCAATTAAGATTCCTCCACTAAGGAAAGAACAAAATAGCTTAGACAGTAGCTTATTTCAATGCTATTTTATAGCACAATCTTGCAGGTACAGCAGAAGGGAATTGCTATGAATTAATGGATGTGGAAAGGATGAAAAGTTACTGGTTGCAAAAATCACAAAAGAAATTAGCTTTTCATCATGCTACAATAAAACTAAAACTACAGAGCAATAGGAAAAAAGTCTGCTTTAAAACTGAATATACATTCTAGCCAATGAAGATGTATCCACTTCACATTAATTTGCTATTTTCTGTTACTAGTGGTTTTCAGACTAAAACCATTTAGCAAATTCTTGTGATCTTCTAAAAGCTTATAATTCATTCACTGGCAAGCTAAGCAGAGGGCAAGTAGGCTTAAGTACTGTGTTTCTAATCCTATTCCTGGACTTTGATAACAAATTAATTCAAGATGGAATATTTTCAGAAATTTTGAGTTAATTTAAAAGAGATTTTTTTTCTCCCTATAGTTTGCTCAAAAAGAAAAGAACATTTCTGGAACAGCAAAAATATATGCAGTGTTTAATTTTCAAAACTTACAGATACAAAATCACTGTTATTTTACAAAACTTGTATAACTTGGTTTGGTTGTACAACAAACTAAACGGAAAAATATGGTTTATGCAGACAATATTTGTAAATTATTTATTCTATTGAATTAAATGTTTTTAAATTTTGTTATAAAGAATTGCTGAAATATAATGATTGGTACTTGGATTTACTGTACAGTAATTGCTAGTGACTGAAAAAATTCTACAGGAAAGGATTAAGTCTACTACTTCTAAGTAGACAGTGGGACTTTAGATTCTTCCAGTCTCTTGCAGGAAACCCTCTCCCTTCAACTTTATGCATTGATTTCAGCTAAATGTAGTTCAATTTCCTTACTGAATACTTCATTGTAAAACAAGAACTACCACTAGCAAAACATGACACTGGAAGAACAATCTATAATGGCTGGCTCACTCATCTCCAACAGGGCAAAGAACCATATCATCTTTGTGAATTATTAATCAGGCTAGATTCCTATTACTTTTCCCCTCTGTCTTTCAACCATCCTGGTGAGCTATAGCCTGGTATTGGCACACCAATCAGCTGAAATATGATTGCTGGCAGCCATGTTTGCTTTCATGCACTCCTTGATATTTTTCTTTTTCCTCCTTAGCTTTCAAAATTAGGTCAACAGAAAAAGTCCCTGCCTCTTCCAAGATGTTACTGCTCTAAAAGTATTTCTTAGAAGACAAGGCATGAGGTAGGTATCTTCAGAAGTCGTCTGGAAAAAAAGGGGGTTCTTCTATTGAAATAGGAAGAAGTCTTAAACCCTTATTGAAGAGGCAGAATTAGCCTTTTGTCTGACTGATTACATTTCCAATTACAGCATACCATCAATACTGTGATTAAGCAAATCATGTATTCTGTTCTTTCCTTTTTTTTTTACTGGATCAGAGAAAGCCTTAATTTTCATGGGGGAAAAGGGAGGAAACGAAAAGAGGAGAGTCAAGGCTCAGGATACAGATTTGGCTACAGGAAACTGCTAATCATTCTCATTTTCCAAATCTGAATCACTATCACTATCAGCAATTTCTAGTTCTTTATTTATGATCATTTTGAATCTTAAAATTTACCTATATTGGCAAACATCTCTATCCTTTTACATACTAGTTTACTTTATTTCTTTAATATATTTCCAAACAAACTGATTTTTTTCTACATCTTAATCATTTTATGTTGTTTGAAATGAAAATATTACAAACATTTATCATCCTCCTTTCTATTAAAAAGAAACCATGGAAGAAAAAACTTACATTTTTCTAGGCTTGAAAAAGCTAAACTTGATCCACTTATATTAAAAAATATTATTTTTATACTTTTAGTCAATTTGTAAGTTACTCCTTACTGCCAGAGTTAAAATATGGAGATGAAACTATGCCAGAGATACCCAAAAGTTTTCCTTAACAAGAGGTCAAGAGAAAGCTTATGTTCGGAAACTTCCCACAGGATGGCATACTGAATCTGCTGATGATTAGCTGATTTTTCTGCCAAATGCCCCATCCAAGTGTAAAAAACTATTTCATTATCTGACAAAACTAAATGTTGACACAATTTGCCTTCAAGAAATACATATCAAGAAACAAGATAAGAAATACCTAATAAGTAAATGATTAGAGGAAAAATTTATATCTGTTGGTTCAAAAAAGACCAATGAAGTTGTTTTATATATAAACCTCAACTTAAAGCCATTCGTGATAATGGAAATTGAACTTAATGGAATAAAATCAATAGTGGTTGGCGGGTATAGGCCAAAGAAAGATAAAAGTAATTTTTTTGAATATCTAATGGATCAACTGCTACCCTTTTCGTATGAAAATTGGTTTATGTTGGGGGACTAGAGTGGACTGACTATATCAGCTTTGGACAGAACATCTACTAAGGAGATTAAATTCTCCCAGGGTAAACTACCAAAGACCTTTTTTGAGATGATGGGCAACTTAATACTAACAGACTCATGGAGACATAAAAATGACTTTGCTAGAGAGTACACTTTTTTTCACAAAGACATAAATCTTTTTCAAGGTTTGATATGATACAAATTTCTAAAAACCTTGCAAATATAATTTTAAAAGTTGATATTCTAACTAAATCCTTTTCTGATCATAATCCAGTGCTTTTAGTACTTAGAGGAAGGAGTTTGAGCTTTAGATGAAGACTAAATGAATCTATTTTGCAAAACAAAATGATTGTAAAAGATTGTAAAAAGAAATTACTTGAATATTTTGATAATAATTTAGGTAAAGGGACAAGTTTAACAACAGTCTGGGATGCTAGTAAAGCTGTTATGGGGGGTTATTTTATATAGTACAATCGATTAGAGAAGAAAAAACTTCAGGAAAAATGGAAAAGATTTTAGATGAAATTAGACAGAAAGAAATGGAATTGCAAATGACACCTACGGACTCTAAAATTCTATATCAAATTAAACTGCTAAGACAACAATTGTCTATGTTAACAGTACAAGTAATAGAAACAAAATTGAAGTATGCAAAACAAAGACATTTTGAATTTGCAAATAAACCAGGAAGATAGTTGGCATATAAATTAAGAAAGGAAAGGGTAAAGAGAATGAGAAAATCTGCGAAGGTAACAATGTAATAACAGATAATAAACTTATTAAAAAGTCTTTTTATAACTTTTGTTCCAATTTGTATAAAAAAACAGAGATACATCTAGAATAGATGAATATCTTTTAAGACAAAAGCTGCCCAAATTATCACAGACCCAGAGACAACCAGCAAGGACTGTGATGTGGAGGCTATTGTACATTGTGACACTAATGATCTGTCCCAAAAAGATGTACTCTCTGTGCAGACTGATTTCCAGAGCTTGGGGCAGGAACTTAGCAAGATAGGCTTACTTTTTCAGAGGTTTTACCAGTGTATAAGGAGCAAAATGGAAAAAGCCAGTGTATAGCAGAATTCAATATGTGGCTAAAGGAGTGGTATAAAGGGGGAGGGTTTGGTTATATTAGTCACGATGTCTGTAGCTGGTCTAAATTAAAAAATGTACAAAAGAGATGGTTTGCATCCATCAAAGAAAGGGACTGAGTTACCCGGCAATAAATTCACAGATTTTCTGAAGGAATATTTAAACTATATAAGTATTTAAAAATATTTAAAAGAGCCGAGGTGGCGCAGCAGTTAGAGTGCAGTACTGCAGGCCACTTTAGCTGACTGTGTTCAGCAGGTCAGCGGTTCAAATCTCACCGGCTCAAGGTTGACTCAGCCTTCCATCCTTCCGAGGTAGGTAAAATGAGGACTCAGATTGTTGGGGGCAATGTAAATATACACATTGTTGGGGGCAATGTAAATATACAGTAAGCAATAAACATTGCTTACTGGTGTACACCACTTAGAGAGTGCTTGCACTTAAAGCGGTATATAAGTCTCATAAATAAATAAATAAATAAATAAATAAATAAATAAATAAACTAAACAATGGGGACAGTGAGTTAATTGATACAGAACACCCCTGTCCCCGGCAATCTAAAAATTACAGGGCTATCAGTACATGTAACATAGATGTGTGTGTGGACAAAAATATCAACCTTGCTGTCAAGCAAAATCAAGCTTCTGAATAGTGAGTGCCACACAAAGTGCACTAACCAAGCGGGTGGTAAGAAAATAGGGGAACTCAGGCACCACACAGGTTATGTAGAAAGTAAACACAGGGTCAGTCATAAAGGACTCAAATGTCTATACACCAATGCACAGAATATGAACAGTAAACAGGGTGAATTAGAAATTCAGGTTAATGAGGGCAGATATGATATTGTTGCCATTACAGAAACATGGTTGGATGAAACCCACAGATGGAACACACAGCTAGAGGGATTTAAATTATTTAAAAGAAACAAACTTAGTAAACAACTTTGTCTCCCAAAAAGTAGAGAAGGGAACTAGGGGATTAGCCAAATTGGATCTAATTCTCACTAACAGAGATGAAATGATAGAAGGTGTTGAAATCACAGGAACCTTGGGAGGAAGTGATCATGAAATATTGGAATTCAACTTTATGGAAGCACAAGCAATAGAACACAGTCAAACTAGAGTCTTGCACTTTAAGAGAGCTAATTTCAATAAACTTAGAGAGGGCATGGAAAGGATTCCATGGATGAGAATTCTCAAGGAGAAAACAACTGAAGAAGCTTGAGAAATTTTGAAAAGTGAGATAATAAAAGCCCGGTCTAGCACAATACCAACAACGAAGAAAAATAATAGCTCTCAAAAGTAACCAGCATGGCTGCATAAAGAACTCTGTGATAAACTGAAAGAT